TTCATGAAGAAATATGTTCCCAGTTCAGGTGAGCATTTTTTATCCTTTGGTAGAGAGAGATGTGGTGAGATCTTAATTAATGAAGATCCCTGATTTGGATGAAATGAACCATTAGGAGGGCTGCAGGCAGTAGAACCACTCTGCATATGAAACCTCATTGCAGTGTTGCCACAATGATCTTTGCAACAGATGCAGTTTTCAGGTACCCCATCATCAACAGGCTTCAATGTCCCAGGGTTTGAAGGTGTCCAGCTACCTCTTGACTGGGTGCCAGGCTTGACTCGTGTAAGTAGAAATCTGGAACACTTTTGAGAACCCTATGAGAAAATCCATACTTTTTTCTGGACATGGGTTTATAAGTAACATGGGCCGGGGATCATGTCTTTGTCTGCTATACTGTTGTTTTTATCTCTACAGAATGGTATTGTGAGACAGCTTTTCCTTCTCTTTACACATCCCAAATTTGGGGCTTAATGCCCAGATCACAGAATCATAGAATGATATGATAAATAAACCCTTCCAGTATCTGAAGGGGGCCTATAGGGATGCTGGGGAGGGACTCTTCATTAGGGACTGTAGTGATAGGACAAGGGGTAATGGGTTAAAACTGAAACAGGGGAAGTTTAGATTGGATATAAGGAGGAAATTCTTTCCTGTTAGGGTGGTGAGGCACTGGAATGGGTTGCCCAGGGAGGTTGTGAGTGCTCCATCCCTGGCAGTGTTCAAGGCCAGGTTGGACAAAGCCTTGGGTGGCATGGTTTAGTGTGAGGTGTCCCTGTCCATGGCAGGGGGATTGGAACTGGGTGATCTTAAGGTCCTTTCCAACACAAACCATTCTGTGAGTCTATGATTTTCTGTTGGAGAAACTGGCAGCAAGAACTCAGCACAAACTGATCATATAAATCCCAGAAGGTCGTGGTGCAGCCTCTAGGAACATTCAAATAGATGTCCTCCATGTGAAGGGTGGGTGAAAGAGAAGGGGCTGGCTCCCCTTCTTTAGCCTGGAGAAGAGAAGGCTGCGTGGAGACCTCATAGCAGCCTTCCAGTATCTGAAGGGGGCCTATAGGGATGCTGGGGAGGGACTCTTCATTAGGGACTGTAGTGATAGGACAAGGGGTAATGGGTTAAAACTTAAACAGGGGAAGTTTAGATTAGATATAAGGAGGAAATTCTTTCCTGTTAGGGTGGTGAGGCACTGGAATGGGTTGCCCAGGGAGGTTGTGAATGCTCCATCCCTGGCAGTGTTCAAGGCCAGGCTGGACAGAACCGTGGGTGGGATGTTTTAGATGTGAGGTGCTGCCCATGGCAGGGGGGTTGGAACTTGATGATCTTAAGGTCCTTTCCAACCCTAACTATTCTATGATTCTATGATTCTATAATGGGTGTAATTCTGTATTAAGCCTCACTTTGAATTTAACTAGTGTTGGGATATGCTTGTTTTTAAGGAAGTCCCATCCTTTCTCTAGATTTTGTTTCAAACTTTCTCATTAAATTCTATTTTCATCCTGGTAGGAGCTAGATTGGTATCATGGGAGCCTGCTGTAGATCCACGATTTCAGTGGTCCTAGAGAACGGTATTAGGGCTGGAAACTGAGAGTCAAGGATGAAGAGCAGTGGAATTCAGTATCCTTCTGATGCTGAGCTCTGGTCCTGGTAAAGTCATACACAGCAGTTGCTGTGAAGTAACTCCTCTCTGAGTGCTGCATGTGCAAGGAAACTGGCAGTATGTGCAAGGAGAGGCAGATTTGAGCCTCCTCAGGCCTGTGTAGACGCTGAAGTTTAGTCTGAAATCTCAACTGGTATTTTTTTTAAGCCCTCTCCAAAACCTACAGGAAAGTTATGTATTTTAACAAATATTTTAAAACATTTTAAAGGGAAGGAAAGAGCTTATAATTAACATCTCTCTCAATCTCCTGTTTTTTCTCTTAATTTAAAAACATCTGGCCTCTGGCGTTGACAGATAAACTCCTTAATCTCTTTACTTATGTTAAATGTGCTCTCCAAGTTGTATTTTTCACTTCTAATTTAGTGGCATCTGAGGGGTGTGCATGTGGGAAGGGAGCCAGAGGCTGAAGTATTTGCAAGAGAATTGCTGCAGTGACTTTATTGTTGGAAACACACCTGAACAACGGATGCCCACAGTCTCTTTTGGCTACCTCTGTCTGTCTTGGCAGCTGGTGCAGGATGAAGTCTCCACTCATAGAAGTCAGGCTGAGCGTGCAAGGACCTGCTGGGGCTGACATTGTTAAAGCACTGAATCCCCGACTGATGTGGTTTGCTGATGATTTCCTCCTGCGCCTATCCAGGGCTGGGTTAAGAGCTTTGTAACTGATAGTATGTTCAATTCATGGTCATAGAATCATAGAACCCCAGACTGGTTTGTGTTGGAAGGGACCTTAAAGCTCAATCCAGCTCCAGCCTCCTGCCACGGGCAGGGACACCTTCCACTGGAGCAGCTTGCTCCAAGCCCCTGTGTCCAACCTGGCCTTGAACACTGCCAGGGATGGGGCAGCCACAGCTTCTCTGGGCACCCTGTGCCAGTGCCTCATCACCTTTATAGTGAAGAGTTTCCTCCTATTCCTGGTCCTTCTGTAGACTCCTGTGCAAAACTAGTACTGTATGGACGATTCCTCAGGGGCCTTCAGGGAGCTTGAGCTGCAGTAGATGAACCCAAAGCAGCTCCATTCTCATGGGAATCACTTGTAATGTTGCCAGGAAAGGCAAACGGTTTAGTGGCACTCGCTTCCCAAGGGTGTGTGAAAGGCTATTTGGCATATGATGCTGTTAGTATCTGGGGGTTAATGGGGGTTTGGCTGAAAAAAATCTGGCATATAATTGTATTTAGAGCTGTGAAATCAAAGATTACTTGCTAAATATAAGCCTGTTCCCTGAAACGTTTCTCCCATGACAAGTGTGCCCTGTTAGGAACCTCCTGTATCTCTTCAGATGGATTGTATTTAATTGTGTTTGCTCTGTGGCAATCTGCTGTCAGAGGTGACTTTGTCCATATAAATCTGCTTTCTCACTTCAATGGAGAAAGGCACACAAAGTCCTGATGCTATGAAATGTGATGGACACACCTCAGTAAGGGTTGGGTCTCCTTACTGCTTCTGGAGGGTTTTTTTTTGTCCTGGAATCTGGTAATTCTGTGGTGCTTTTGGAATTAAAAGTTTGTTGTTCTCAAAGCTGCAGGAAAATGCTTAAAAATAGAAGCCCTCTGAGCCATATAAAATAAAAGGCAAGGATTAAGAATATGGTGATTATTGGGTTTGGTTGGTCTATAAACTGAATGATTTCCTTGGGACTTGTAGAAGTATAACGTGTCCTGACTCTTGAGTGCTTGGAGTTTCCAAGGCTGAGGAAGCAATTCTTCATGGAGGGGGGGTTAGCAAAAGCCTGTGCCTGGAATACGTGGTAGAGAATGAAGATTGTCAAGACACCTGCAGTGACATTTTTAAGGCAATCATCTCAGTTTTCCCTGTTCTGTCCCACACTTCATAAATGAGTAATTGCAAGACGTTTTAAAGAGTCCTCCTGTCTACTTCCAGTCAGATGGCATGTCAGTGAGAGCTGAGCAAGCAGGAAAACATCCTCATGGATATTGTTTCCAATTCCACAATGAATTCAGTTGGCCTGTGTTCAAGCGCCTTGCATGTTAGCTTTGTGGAAACATGGGTGCCAGTGTTTTCCTAGCAAATAAGGGTTTTAAAGCTCAAAGGTTTCAGTGGGTTTTTGGAAGTGAATTTGGGGATCTGGACTATCTAATTCAAGGTTTGCACCATGCTGAGCACCGCATTCATTCAGTGGCAGCATCATGAACCTGAGTTCTTTGCATTTCCTTTAGAGAATGGTTTAATGTTAGTAAACAGTCTCAGAGGAAAAAGACTTGGAACTCTACATTGAAACAGTGGGAGTTTCCAATAGTGAAGCTACTTCAGGTAGTAGTGAGCCACTGTGTTTGTAATACTGGAATTTAAAAGGATTAACAAGTGTCCTCTGGTGTATCTGAAGCTGTTACCAAGGAGCTGACAGTGACAGTGTCAGAGAAGCTGCAGGCAGTTCTCATTTTTCATAGCAATTTTATGTGTGCAAACATATATCCCTTGCTGGTATCCGCACAGCTAAGATGTGAAGAGCAAAGCCCTGCTCAGCCAAAGGCACCCTTCTCAAGTGTTTAGCTTTGGATAGCCCGAGATGCAATAAGGAAGTTGATGGTTCTGACAACTCCAGGTTTATCAAGCAGCTAACACTTAATCCATGCAGGCTGCCTGTGGTTTCCTTCCTACCACTGCCAAACCAGTGCTAAATATGGGTTTCATATGAGAAATAAATCTCTTAGTTTATTACACCATGGTTGTGTTTCTTGAAGTATGCAAATGGATGAGGGATCAGAGTAAACTTTGAGCATTGCGGGCAGTTTGCTTTCAGAGTAAAATGCTTGTTCTTCTGAATTTGGGCCTTTCTTATAGTTATTTGTCACCACTCACTACTTAATGGTATATAAACTAAGGATGAAGAAGACTGGAGTAGGATCTGTTATAGTGATAAGGATGTGTGTAGAAGGGAGGGATAAACCATAAGCAGCAGATATGTAATGATTAGATAGCTAGAAGTTTGCTGATAGAGTGGATGAACAAAGGTGGTTGTTGAGAGCTGAGACCACTCAAGAAGTATCCTCCTTCTCATTGCATTCACTTCCTTCCAGCCTGTGTGCTGGGTGGCCTAAGGAGTCCTTTTGTCTCTGCTTTACATGTAAAGTTTTCTCCCTTGCTGACATGGGCTGAGTAGAGCTAACTCTAGAGAGTCTGAAGCCAAGCACTCTTCCTAAAAGCTGCTACTCCATGCTGACCAGGAGGGCCATGTCGACATGAGATGAGGAGTTGGTAAAGGATGAGAACTGAGAGTGTGTGATCAGGAGAGCTGTTTCACTCTGGACTTGTTGGTTGGCTGAACTGTTGCACTGCCCTTTGTGCAAGGAATCAGAGTCTTCCTTTGTAATTTCAGGAACAACGCCACCTGCATTCAGGAGGGATGGAGCTCTGTGATGGCACACGTGGGGAGTGGGAGAGCCATGGAGACCACTGCCTTTTGTAAGTGTTTCTATGAAGCAGCATTAAGTGCAGGTTACATAATTGTTGTGAGCAATCCTGGTGTTTACACGATCCATTACAAAGTTCTTTGGCAAGTGCCCGCAGCTCAGCCAATGTAACCAGCCAAATCCTGACTTCACATCCTCACAGCCCCACCGAAACGGCTGTGGATTTATATAGATCTGGATGAGGTCAGGACCTGGCTCAGGATCCACAGGAATGGTCAAAGTTGGTGTGTGGAGCTGCACACAAATCCCTGCCTCTGTGCTGGTCATTGCAGGCTGTGAATCTTTTTGAGGTTGAATTGCCATAATTTTTTTAGGTTGATTTAGCAATTGAGAAATATTATTTCTAGCTGTCAAAACAGCAAAAAGGACAAGAAATATGGATTTCACATCCTTGTACAGAGCTTCTGGCAGCTAGTATTCTTTCTGCACTTGTAATGACAAATAGCATTAACCTTAGCCATTTTGCTTGGCACTTGGGGTTGTGTTTTCTTTTGCAGTCGTTATTCCTCCAAGAACAGGGAACAGTTTGTAATCACTGCTTCAGTTTTTCACCAGCCTCATGTCCAAAAACAAGGCTAAAGCCAAGGATTAAAGTGCTGTTTTGTGTGGGAACAAAAGCTGCATCAGCCACAGGACTGATCATGACACCTTGCTTTGGAAGACAGTAGGAATAGCTCTGCTGTCTCACTAGAATGCCCTGTACTGTGAGCCCAGGGCTTTTGGTCAGCCAAGCACAACCTTTGGTTTTCCCCAAAACTGACTTCTCTTATGTTGCTTCTTTTCTTCACGTTTGATGCCCCAAATATTGCCCCCCCCCCCCCCCGGAATTTGTTTAGCTAAGGGCTTGCAGCCTAATGAGAAGAGGGAATCAGAACAGAAAAGAGAAGTTCCTGAGTTCAGGATCTGCCTTGGTGTGATATCAGTGAGCCTACAAAGGTTTTAAACATAGGCCAGAGGGATGGTCATATTATGACAGGGGTATAAGACAGACTGTATTGTCTGCTGCTGTGTCATTTGTCACCTTCCCAAGAGGCCTGAAGAGGCCCTTCTATTTCAAAGCTCTTTTAGTGAGTCCTTTTCCACAGATGCAAACCAGACACAACAGTATTGGTTCCTGTTTTAGATGTGATCCTGTATGAACTCAGCATCCAGGTAATCACACAGCACTCGGGGGAACCTCCTTGGTCATTGTGTCCCTTCTCTGCATACTGCAGGATGAATGGTCATGTCCTACAGTTCCATTCATAAACTCATCAAGCCAGAGTCAGTGTGCACAGTATGATATCCTGTGTTTGCAGCACAGGGTGGTCTTTTTGGAAGGCTGTTCCAGAGAGCTTTTTACCAAAATGGATGTGATATAAGCAATATTTCATTGCTAGACTTGTAAATATGGAAACCCATCTGGTTGGATCATATTTTAAGAGAGTATGGATGCTGGTGTATGTTATTGCAAGGAATGAGAACATTTATGGCATGCTGTAAAGAGTGAAATCCTGCACGAAGGACTCCTCTTCCCCACCATGTTGTAGGTGATCTCTAGGAATAATTCTTCATACACCAAGGAGAAAATAATACCTAAACCTAGAAAGCCTTCACTTAAACTGACCTAGCTATCATCCCCAGCTCTCCCATTCTGCAATAAAGCAGAAGCTAATCTAATGCCATGGAGTTGTTCAGGGTGCAGGGAAGTCTCCCACGTACCCCAGCTATTTACTGAACAACCTTAGTATCTTGAACCAAAACAAATGGGGCAGCTTTATCAGTAGACTCTCTCTGCTTCTCTAATCCTGTTTCTCATGCAAGATCATTGTAATAATCCAGGCTGGATGTTATCCAGGCAGCTGGTGGATGTTGTCATTCTTCCATTGAGTTGACAATGGAGGTGTGGGCCAAGAGTGAGAACCTGGAAGAATAATTGCCTTGACCACAGAGGGGTGGGAAAAGGCATCGCTGGCAGTTTTGGAAGCAATAATTACTGAGAGTCATGCAAAATCCTCTCCATCTCTTGCTGGATGATTGGAAGGATTCAGCTCTGCATGCCATCACTGGGGTTTTTTGGCTTGGAGAAGTATTTAGAGGTTCATTCATTACTTGTTATAATCCCTCCCAGTTCAGCTGTGCTGAAAGTGAAATATTTACATTAGAAATAACATCATTGCTGCCAATAACTGAACTGCCCATTGTAGAACCTGTGAGGGAAACGAAGCCTTTATAGTGCACTTTGCTATGGCATCCTCTTGATCACTCAGATTTTGCTCCCTGGGTACCATAATGGATGTGTGACCTTCAAAAGAAACTGTGAGTGCAGCCAGCTTTTTACTATATAGAATTAGGTTTTCAAATACTTCCCTTTTGAACTACCTACCACTTGAATCTGTGGCCAGTTTCTGGGCCTTCTTGGCTTAGCTCTGCTCTCTTTAGACTTTGTCTTACTCTCTGCAGATTTATATTGCCCTGTTAACACGATTTGAGTCCAAACACTACATCACAACTGTGGGCTTTTGGGCAGCTCTCCAGCAGTGTGCTGAATCTTTCTCTTTTTGCCTTGCTTTTAATAATTCTATTATATGTGGACAGAGCTGCTGCTGCTTTTAATGCATGTCTTGTTGAAGCTTTGCAGGCTCCTTTAGATTTACACAGGACTCTCTTATAAAACAAGAAACCAAATTTCTCATCCATTCCAATCCCAAATCTGTGTGTTTCTCTTATTTCCAAACACTTCATTTAGAGAGCTGGCCAGAGAAGCCTGAGCTAATGCCACGTGCCTTATGCAGTTCAGTTGTTTAGTCCAGGCAAGCTTTGCTTTTGTAAACTTTTTGAGAGATCTAGAATTAAATGTGAAACATGAGTCAAACAGGTTTTGGATGTGTTTAACTTGGAACACTTGGTAGTTGTGATGTCCTGATTCAGTACAGGAGAATGTACTGCTTTGCCCTCCTACAGCTTTGGAAGATGGCTGCTGACCGGATAGATATGTACTTACTCATCTTGCTCCTGATTCATTTGCTGTGGTTACTCCATCTCCAGCAGGGCAAGCAGAGAAACTTCGCCAAAGAAACTCACGTTTCTGCTTCTGAGATTTCAAAATGAGAAGAAAGGCCAGACCTGCAGGAAATATTCCCATCCATCCTTGAAAGAATGTAGAGCAGGCAGGCACGGAATCTGCTTTGGGCTACCACTGTAGCAGAAATGCTTTATGCAGACCAGGTATGAGCGAATGGTTAGGTAATCCCTGAGCATATCCATGAAATGGATGTGCATGTGAAATGATGCATGTGAAATGGATGCATGTGAAACTCTTATCTAATCCATAAACCTGTAGGCAAATCCCATCCCTGTTTAATGTCTGAAGGGCCACCTGGGGATCTGAACAACCCTTTGGTCCAGGTTTGAGTCATTCTTTGCCTTGATTCTTTCACCTCAAGTGTCTCTTTGTACCAGACTACTCACAGTGTCTGCAGTAACTTTTTGCAGCCCTGTTGATAAATGCTGCTGTTTTCTCCCTCTGGCTTCCTTCATCTGAATGACCTTAGATTTACTCTTTCACTGCCAGGCCTGGCTTGCAGACCTAAATACGTGCAGCAGGTGAACACCAATAGAGTTTGCATATTGCTTCTGGTCAACCCTGCTTGGTATTTAGGGCAAGGGGACATCCTGACTGCTGGGGAGGTTGGTGTAGGCAAAACTGATTGGTACCCAGTTTGAGGAAAAGAGGCTGTCAATGAAGTTCAGACCATGGCATGCAAAGCAATCCCTGGCTTCATTTGGTTTCCAGAGATACTCCACATCTGTTTCCTGGGAGGGAAACAGACCTTCCCTTCTCGCCCTCTGTGTGTGCACCTCACTTGTTTCCAAGCTGAGTTCTCCACCTGCACCTTCACGCCACAGCCTCTTCCACCTTCTGTCTGGTGGGTTGAGGGCACTCTCTGTGGTTGATCACTTTGCCCCACCTGTGTGCTAGGGCAGGTATCCACAGGGAGCCTGCATTGCTGGGGTTTCTGCTGTGTCAAAGAGCACATTACACCCTTCCTGCCAAATGATCTTGGAATGGTTTAGCCCAGCATCTCTGGAGCTTGTCCCTGCTGGATCAGACAATGGTGCCAATCACTGGCTGTGCCCTCACACTGAAGGGCTTTGCACTGCATGTAAACACTGCTTATCAGTGACTTTCTCTCTTGAGAGCATGCATGAAGAAGGAGTTCTGGCATGGAAAAATAATCATGGTAATCTACAGCTGCTGTATCTGTCCTATATCAAGGTCAGAGCATTCCCAACTCAAGTTCTGGCTTGAATGGCTTGGAGCAATGTGTGTGCTACAGGGTGTAAAGGTTTTCTGCAGAAAAAAGCTATTCAAAACTGAATGAAAACACAGAAAAAGCAGTGCATGGGCTGTTATCTTAAGTCAGCTCGTGGAAACTTATTGCCAATTGAGCCAATATTTTCCACTCATCTCAGATAGTAATGGAGGTCAATGTGCAATTATTACCTCAGCTGGCCTAAAATGTCACCAGTGGTTGTTTATCTCAGCTATGTACCTCATCCAACTACAAGCTGTAGCCTTGGCTGCTTGACAGTGCAAAATCAAGAGGGACTCTGGCTGAAGTCATGTTTTATTCAGTTACCTCTGGCCAGATTCAGTACGGTCGTGTTCTTTATAACAGTTGGCCGAAGATGCACCCATGTACATCAGGAATGACTCAGAAAGGCACAGTGGAAGCGGGAGGATTAGCAGAGACCCAGTGTCTCTACCAGGAGAAGTTGTGTCCATAAGCATGGCTCTGTGTTACTTACAGGTGCTGGGTCTCTTCACAAACATTTGAGGTCTTACCATGAGTCTGCATTGTCTGTGTGATAGAACAGTGCTAATGTGATGAGCTTTGGCAAGCTATTGTCAGACCTCTTGTCATAATCCAGACTTCTGGTTCAATAGTCACTTGGCTCTCCATAAACCAGTCTCTTCTGGGGGAGCAGAGTCTATGTGCAAAAGATCCAATGAAAGCCTTCTTCTAAAAAAACTAACAAACAAAACTCTGATTTGTTGCTGCAGTAAATGATTAAAATGCAGGTTTCAGCCTAAAAGCAACCTTAAAAACATCACCTGTTGGAATTTCATATTTCTCCCACTGGCAAACATACAGATCCCATTCCCCCAGACATGTTTTCTGCTCATTTCTGGAGGTGTAGACACACTCCAGACTCGGAGCATCTCGTGTTTGTTCTACACTGGAAATCTTCAGACATGAAAGAAAGTGAAATCTATGGTTCCTCCAGGCTTTGTCTGAGTTTGGATTTATGTACAGGCAGGAGAGCTGGAATTTCTCTCTTGCAGATGGTGCTGGGCTGGGTTTGACGTGTCTATGGAAACAGATCTAAAATTGAGGCAAGCAGAAGCAGAGACTTCATAGGTTGGACTTCCCTGAGGATGTTGTTTGGAGTAGAGGGGTTCACTTGTTCTTGTGAAACGATTCAAGCATGCTTTCTGCTTATAAAGTCTTCACTCCTCAAGAAAGAGCCTGGCCTAGTTAATATATATTATATATGTAGTGTATGATATATAATATATATTGAAAGAAATTTGAACATACAGGAGCAGAATTCCCATTTCAGCTCAGAGAGCTCATGGTGTTCACTGCTATTCCTGTTGTTACCTCACTGAGTTCTTGCTCTTCATAATTCTTTCACATCATACTGCTGAGTTTTGACCCCCTGGGACTGGTAAGCAAGACCATTGCTTTGCATCTGTGACTGTTGCTCCCCAATATTCAGTTCTTTGTTGTAACAGCCCCTTACTCACCTGTAGTGTATTTCCATGTTCATTTTAATGTCTCTTCTGGTTGCTGTAGGTTTAATCCCTTCCAAGTTTATTCTTCCTTCCTTCCTTGCTATCAGTAATACATCAGTTTGTGATCAGCAGAAGAGCAGATCAAGCCACCATCACACCAGCCCATGGTCCTAGAGCTGTAATGTACCTTCACTATGGAAACTGATGAGCTGCTGCGCCAGCTGCTAAAGGGATTAGTGGTTGTTTATCAGCTCAGCCTCATCCAGTGATTGTGAAGGGATGTTTTTCTAACCTGCTACCTGGGGTTGGAGTTCTGCAGGGGTCACTGATGGGCTGTTTGTCATCCAAGGTTTTCCAAAGCACTGTGAGAATCTCTGTCACCAGAGCATTACAATGGTGTGTTTGTCACTCACATCTGCTGGCATCTATGGTATGAACAAGACAGGGCATTGGGGAGAGGGGTTAGGAGGTTCCTTGTAATTTTTGCTGTCTTAGTCTTGTGTGGTCTTTGCCAATGTGTGTTTATTTCCCTTTTGATAGCTGCTGTGGTTTTATTCTCCATTCAGGGGTATGTCTGGCAGTCTAAAAGAGTTACTTTTTCACCTGTATTAAGGCAGAGAAAAGAAAGTCAAGAAAGAACCAAAGTTTTGACTCCACTCCCTTTGCTTTCTTCCAGTGACCCTGAAAGTCTTTAATGGATTCTAACATAGTGGAAAGAAGACATGAGGCTTGAATTCACACACACACACAGACAGGCATAGCTATGATAGCTAAGTCACATAGGCTTTTATGGGCATCTCCTGTTTCTTGGCTAGGATCTCGGTTGCAGCCTTATTTTCTTAGCGACCCTGTTTCCTAGAGACCCCGTAGCACACAAACATGTGCTGTGGAGGGAAACGAAAGGCATTTTCCTATGCAGAGAGAGAAGGGTTCATCCAGTTTATACTGGGTATATATGCTAAGAGCTCAGTGTCAGAGGGACAGATCAATCCTCCAGCATCTTCAGCCCCTGCAAGACCATGGCATGCTGCGTTTGGAGCTTCCAGTGGATGGGTAGACATGTTTTAAGTAGAAAGAGCATCTTCCTTTCATTAGAACTGTAATGAATATTCATTCCAAATCATGAATGAGTGATTTGATATTTCTTTTTCTCAGGTTTTTTGGGATATAGAAGGGGGAAAATGGGAGAAAGAACCAGAACAGATCCCCCCTGCATTGTGTGGTGACCTGGGACAAAGCTCAAGATGTATGAACTCAGGAAGTTCCAGGTCAGGACTATAGTGCTCCATCCTTGTCTTTCCTCATCACTACCCATGTATCTGCCACCTTTAATTACAGTAACAGTCAGAATAGCTTCTTCTTGGTGACAGATTATTTTTCTCCCTTTTGGTTTTCACTTCTTCTTTCCCCTATGTATTTAGACAACCACAACTTGCAACCACATCCATAGGCAGCAAGCAAAGATGTAGAACACCGAGCTGTTTGAATGGTGGCTGTGCTTGGGTAACCATGGATTTGTCTCAGAGCCCCGTGTCCACACTTGTCCTCTAAGCTCAGGCCATGTAGAAATCTATCCTTCTTAAACCTGTACCTGTCTGGCTAATGCTTGGGGTGTGGGCGCACAATGAAATCATGTGTGGCTTCTGAGAAGCAGGGCTGTATCTGGTGGTCTAGTGGTAAATAAATGCGGGTACACTGACCCAAATTCAGTGTGGAGTAAACCCCATGTTTTCCTTCAGCTACACTGCTGGTATTGACATGTGGTCTGTCGCTGCTGTGGTCTTCTTACTGGTGAGGAACTGGGGAAGTAGGGAACTGTAAACCCATTTGGTTCAGATAATCTGCTACATGAACTCCGTTGTTGAGAAGGGGGAAAAAAGACCATGAAGTATTTATTTAGAAAGTGCAGCTTGTTCCCATTTGTGACCAAGCAAATTAAGAAGATTGAGCTTTGTGGGGGTATTTTTGAATGGGGGAAGGGGAAACCCTGTAATCATGAAAGCCTGTGAAATCAGATTATTTCTTCCGAAGGAACAGAGCCAGTTAAGAAATGTTAATGCATAAGCCACGTCGCACCATAAGACTGACCTTTCTTCTGTCAGCCTGTTCAACTCCCTTCTGCAGAGCTTTTTAACTCCATGTCCATCGCTCTTCTCCCACAGAGCCTCCTCCCTTTACCTCTCTCCTCTCCTCTCCTCTCCTCTCCTCTCCTCTCCTCTCCTCTCCTCTCCTCTCCTCTCCTCTCCTCTCCTCTCCTCTCCCCCCCCTCCTCTCCTCTCCTCTCCTCTCCTCTCCTCTCCTCTCCTCTCCTCTCCTCTCCTCTCCTCTCCTCTCCTCTCCTCTCCTCTCCTCTCCTCTCCTCTCCTCTCCTCTCCTCTCCTCTCCTCTCCTCTCCTCTCCTCTCCTCTCCTCTCTTTCCATTTAGGATACGAGGGAAATGGATTGAGGGACCCTCCTAAAACTCCATCTCCTTGTGAGCTCCCACAAGACTGAGGTAGGATCTCACCTCAGGCTGGAAGAGGCAGTCGGGTGCAGGGCACGATGGGCTGGAGCTCAGCACCACCAAGAGAGGTCCAAATCAACCCCAATGTTGAAAACCTGTGAGAGACTAACCAAAACCCTTGAGTTTACCGCAGGAAATGCTCGTAAAGATTTATGGTCTGGATTGTACAGTAAAGTAGAGCTTGACAGACAAAGTGTTTCCTTTGGTCTTAAAAGCTCCAAAGCTCTTCACTTACTGGGGGAGAGTTAACTTGAAGCAATATAAAATGTTAACTGCAGAGGCTTTCAGAGGGGCTTAAAAGAATTAGGGTCTTAACTGGCCAATAACCCATCACATCTAGTGCAGGCAAATGCTGTTGAGCAATTTATTTCCTAGCTGCTGAGCTGCACTACTGGGAGGGGGTCAACATTGGTTTAGGTGTTGCATATGAGAGAAGAAATGTATGGGTCTCATTCCTGGGAAATGTATTCCTCTGTGCCCTAAAATGAGGCAATTCATTCAGGCTGGAAGTGCATAGGTGTCCTTTGGTGACATACAAGCACCGTGAAACTCAGCAGAGACTTGGGATTGCAAGAAGTAAATGTCATCTTGAGTGATTACCACTGAAAGAGAGGGCTCTGTTTTTAACCTCGTCGGGGAAATTGATGGTCTGGTATAGAAGAGGGAAGAGGACATTTCATGAGATATATTCCCATCATAGTTTTGGGCTGGGATGGCCTTTCAAAGGAGCTGTTTTAACCGATTCCTTCATCCCCACAAACATTACATAAGAGCCATTGGCAAAACTAACAGACACACACACACACACACGCTTCTTGTACAAAGGGCTGAAAACCAGCCCAGATGTTTACAAAGCAACCACAAAAGACTGGAAGAAAAACAAACATACAGAGATGTTTTAAATGCAGAGGAACCAGCAAACACAGGAAAAAAATACCCATGTTCCTGGCAGTAGCTTTGGAACATAATGAAACCATTTGGGGCAACCCTCCCTTTAAACTTGCCCCATGGCAGGTTTGAATTATCAGTTATGTTTTCGTTCATCACTTCAGGTCAAAGACTTCATCTTTCAGTATAGGTCTGCCCTGCTCTAAAAAGGCAGATGGAAAAGGAAGGCAGACCTTCATTCCTAATTGTTTTACTGTGCTTTCTCCTACTTCTGCTGACAGAAGCTCTGTAGCAAGAACATAAAAGAGAGTTCTTTTGCCTCCCTTGCCTTTGAGCAGACAAGCACTGCTTGTGCTTCCCAGTTTTGGGCTTTTTTGCTGGGGACTCCTCAGTGCTTTGTAGTGTGAGATCAGGAGATCTGACTGGAAACACTTTCCTCCCAGGCTGAAATGCTTTTCTGTGACAGTGATGCAAGAAAGAGGACTGGTGTCTCAACACCATTCATCTTGCAGAGCTGGTCCTGAGAGCATGTATTGCATTGCAGTAAGGAGTATGGTTTTGGCACCAACTTCTTGGTCTTCTTTGACCAAAACCACTATCCCTGTCATTTTTAGGTCAGAAACAACAGCTTATTTCTAGGAGGTATTTCTCTTGTATCCTTTGTTTGCTAAGTAAGAGTAGCTTGGAAATGTATTGTTTTGGGACAGATGCTTGAATTCAAATAGTCACTCCTAAAAGGCAGCTTACATTTTCCAGATGGCTTAATAACAAAGCTGGTTTCATATTCTTTGCACATATATAAAAGTAGTAAAAGATCTCACAAGATCAGGTGCCTAGGTGAGGTGGTCCTGAGCCCAGGGCTAACAAATACAACACTAACGTGGTTCCATATGTGAACTTCACAACTCTGACCTGTTGCTATGTCAGCTTGTAGTAACGGAACCAGCAACAGAGCTGCTTTTTGTTGAAGAAGGCTGTGTACTTTGCTCCTAAGCACTATAAACACTGTAAAAGCTGTTTACTTTGGCTTCTGGTGTCTTGAATTCACTGAGGAAGGTCACGGCTTTTGTCCTCTTCTACCTAGAAGGCAAAATGTTTGAAGAGAAGAGGAAAAATGCTCCTTTCAGGCTGGAATGTTGAGGTTGCAATTTATCCTACAGGACTTGAAAGAGGAATTTTCAGTTCCAACTTGTTTGAAGAGGAATGAGCTGGTGAAAGAATTTAAGGGCACTTGTGAAACGCAAAATGTTGCCTGCCTATGGAATGGCCCAGAAAGGAAACATCCGTGAGGATCTGTGGCTCAGATATTCCACACTGCCTGAACAGAATAATGAAACACTTCTCCTGAGATTTACGAGCCTGGAAAATAGACTGCAGACTGCCATCAAGGCCTGAAAATACTACAGACTGTAGCTGGAGTCTCTAGTACATCTCTTTTTATACGAGCAATACGGGGTGGGAGTACTGGGAAGGAATCAGAGATGAAGTGTAAATGCAAACGCAGAATATAAACATATTCTTTACTGTCATGAGGCTCCCAAGCTGTGGTTGTGGAAGAGGTTTTATCTTTCTAGTGCAAATTCCCTGGTCCTTTTGTTTTGTTTTTATAACTGAATACTACCTCCAACTTCCTACCATTACACTGCAAGGCGAGGTGTGATGCGGGAAGCATGAACTCTGTTGGAAGCTCCTCTGTCTTTAGCAGACTCAAAGGCAATGGAGTTGGTGAGTTCAGGCTGCTCTGTGAAGGCCAGGGGCTGTCAGGAGTGTACTGTGGTCACCTAATGCTGATCCATCCCTGCTGTTGAGTAAAGGATGAGCAGTGACTTGTGCACTTCAGGATCGTTTTCTGTTAGAGAGTGGAAATCACAGCATCCTAACAAGCGGGATACCGTCTCTGCCCTAAAGCCATGTCAGCTCTTAGAGGCCTGTGGTGGTTGTTACTCTGTCCCATTCCTGAAAAATCACAGCACTTGAGATTCCCACCCCCAGTTTGCTGCACAGATGATTTTTTTTCCTTGGCTGTAATGCCAATCTCTCTTGCTGCAAGTGTTTTCTATCAAATGTATGTCATAAACCGTGAAGTAGATAAATGTTGCTTGGCAGTCACATCTGCTGGCAGGATTGTTGGTATTATTATTTTATCACGGCTGTGTTATTTAAGTGTTCAACCTACAGGTTTGAGAGTGATTCTGGATGTGAGAAAAGTCTTAGTTCCCTGATTAGATGTGTCAGCTCAAGGAGGGAAACATCCCCCATGAGTCCCAGTTCTAGGGGCAGGGACAAAACCCTCCTGCATACACACTTAAAGGAGTAGTTTGCTCTGTCACCTCTCAGCCCTCTTATTGCCAGACGCTGAGCTCTGCTGGAAGCCCAGTTAGAAACTTGGGTGTCACAGTGTGGAGCTGAGCTCCTTCAAAAACCTGGTGCTGAGCTTCACTATGAAAAGAAACCACTCTGCAAGGTTTCCTCAGATGCACCCCAAAGGAGCTTACAGATGGGTCTTTATGTAAGGGCACGTAGTGACAGGACAAGGGGGAATGGCCTTAAACTGAAAGAAGAGAGACTGAGCTGAGCTCTTAGGCAGAAGCTCTCCCCTGTGAGGGTGCTGAGGCACTGGCACAGGGTGCCCAGAGAAGCTGTGGCTGCCCCATCCCTGGCAGTGTTCAAGGCCAGGTTGGACACAGGGGCTTGGAGCAAGCTGCTCCAGTGGAAGGGGTCCCTGCCTGTGGCAGGGGTTGGGACTGGATGAGCTTTAATTTCCCTTCCAACACAGCCCATTCTGTGATTCTGTGATTCTGTGATTCTGTGATTCTGTGATTCTGTGATTCTATGATATGGTCTAAGCAAAGACATCCTGATCTATACCTATACAGCCAAACAGGACCTGGAATAAAACAGGAAAGAGCGTGCAAAAGTGTGAAGGGGAGTGCACACTCAGCACCATGAGGTTATAAATAAGGCTTTTATTTTTCATTCCTTGTTTTCCCAAGACATCTACAGAGGAAAAGAAATAGATTTCAGTGGCTGTTTGCAAGAAGAAAAGGACATGGATCTGTTGGAACAAGTCCAGAGGAGGCCACGAGGATGATCAGGGGACTGGAGCACCTCCCATATGAAGATAGGCTGAGAAAGTTGGGGCTGTTCAGCCTGGAGAAGAGAAGGCTGCGTGGAGACCTCATAGCAGCCTTCCAGTATCTGAAGCGGGCCTATAGGGATGCTGGGGAGGGACTCTTCATTAGGGACTGTAGTGATAGGACAAGGGGTAATGGGTTAAAACTTAAACAGGGGAAGTTTAGATTGGATATAAGGAGGAAAATCTTTCCTGTGAGGGTGGTGAGGCACTGGAATGGGTTGCCCAGGGAGATTGTGAATGCTTCATCCCTGGCAGTGTTCAAGGCCAGGTTGGACACAGAGCCTTGGGTGATAAGGTTTAGAGCGAGGTGTCCCTGCCCATGGCAGGGGGGTTGGAACTGGATGATCTTAAGGTCCTTTCCAACCCTAACTATTCTATGATTCTATTCTATGATTCTAAGTGCATGTTAAAGGTGAGGATCACTCCATGGTAATATCCACGAGTAATCCCTGTCTCTTACCCATCATGTCAGTCCATTGTTGTCAGCCTAATGCAAGGTGTTTAGCTATGGCTCTGCATTCCTGCTAGGAACTAAGTGTACAAACTCACCCTGTGGTGGCTTGACTGGTGATTTCCTAGTGAGGTGCCACGTGCAAGGACACCCCGAATTGCATTCACAAGGAACGTTTTTTGTGGGTAAGGCATTCGAACAAGTGCCTTGTGTGTGCTGATGGATACTGCCAGGCGGCCGATAATTCTGATTTACACTTGATTTCTTTCTTCTTGAGGGGAAATCCCAGTTGCCAACTATGTTAACGATGTATGTAATGGTGTGTTAACGGACACCATTAGTTTGCTGGACAAAACGGAGACCTCTGCCAAAACAAACCTTCTCCAGTGGTAACGTTTTATGGATCAGCAGATTCTGAAAATGCTTCAGAGTGGAACTGAATGTCAGGGCACATGCTTCAGGAACGGCGAGCACTTTCCTAACCACAAGTTTCAAGGTATCTGTTAGTAATTAACTGCACTCGAGCATTTTCTTAATTTCAGCATTGCACAATTTCTCGATGAGGTGCAATAATTGCAGGCCGGAAACAGTTTGTTTTAACATTATGACTAGATTAGTATGGAAAAGCAGTCCCAGCTTGGAGCAGCTCACGTTAACTTCCATCAGCAGGACCAAGCCGCTTGGAATGCGCTCATAGCCTAAGGCATGCAGGGAGCCATACCCCACATCCCTACCTCTGGGGTCAGGCAAGGTTTGTGGGAGACAACCCACAGCGAGGGGTCTGGCAGACCCTCTGGCTCAGGGTGAGTTGGTTCAGCTGCTTTCGGAAGCACTGACAGCAAAGCTGGTCTGCAGGAGCAGCTGAAGAGCCGTGCATGGATGGAGCCAGGATGGATCAGCACATTTGACAGGTTTGCCAACATCTGGGCAGGCCTTGGGCTGTGCCCGAGTGGAGTTAAAAGTGCTCGTGGATGCAGGTGCATGTTCTCAGTGGGAGCTGCCTGCTGCTTGGCAAGAAGGATTTGTCCTGCGGATGGATGCAGTATCGCATGCTGCTGACCTGCAGTGCTCTTCTGAAAAGGCTGATCTCAGTTTCCAGGTTGAGGTCTGTATAATCCAGGGTTCACGTAAAAATCGTGGAGTGGGATTTGTCTATGTCCGACAAAACTGCTTTAATTCAGGCTGTGGAGACTTCTACAGTGTGAGAAGTGTGGGGCAGCAGAAGACAGGAACATCCTGGAAGTGTTGTTGTACCGTCGTATTTACCCCAGGGTTTGAATCAATGGACAGATGTGAACTCCCTGCAATCCCAAGGTTTGAATCAATGGACAGAATTCCAACAGGGTTTGAATCAATGGACAGATATGAACTCCCCGCAATCCCAAGGTTTGAATCAATGGACAGATGTGAACTCCCTGCAATCCCAAGGTTTGAATCAATGGACAGAATCCCAACAGGGTTTGAATCAATGGACAGATATGAACTCCCTGCAATCCCAAGGTTTGAATCAATGGACAGAATCCCAACAGGGTTTGAATCAATGGACAGATATGAACTCCCTGCAATCCCAAGGTTTGAATCAATGGACAGAATCCCAACAGGGTTTGAATCAATGGACAGATATGAACTCCCTGCAATCCCAAGGTTTGAATCAATGGACAGAATCCCAACAGGGTTTGAATCAACGGACAGATGTGAACTCCCTGCAATCCCAAAGCACGTTTTATAGAGCTCAAACCATGTGACCCCTTTACTCCAGAGCAGAGCTTTGGGGCTCTCCCTGTACTTCTTGCTGCTCAGGAGTTCAGTATAGATGTACTCCATAAAGCCCATTAAAGCAGTTTATTGCCTTAGTTATGAACCTTCATGTATTAGTACAAGAACTTCAGAGTGCAAATATGGATTAAATAAATGGCTGACAAGGCTGGTTCTTCCTTTGAAAGGTTTCCATCCATCTCAGACATGATAGTCTAATCTTTGACCGAGGCAAGAGTTTTACCTGGAGAGTTTCCAGTCATGTTAATGGGAGCTGTGAAAACCCTGTGCATATCAGCAGCAGAAGTGGCCCCTTTTTCGAAGGGAATGGTTTTGGTTGTTTCCTAGTGCATTACAATAACCAGCCACCAGACTTAATTGCTTTTTGTCCCACTTTCCCTCCCCTCCTCATATCTTTATCTCTTCATGCCATAAAAATACTGCGTTTTAAAATGAAGTCAAGGAGACAGAAAACAGAAGAGACATGTTTTGCATAAAAGAAGAAACATGTGTTAGGAATAAAGGCTCAAAATGGGCAAACATATTGAAGACATATACATACTTGCTTTCCTTCTCCCCCTTTTGCACCCTCACAGGCAGGCAGGCAGGCATGAAGCTGCTCTTGTACAGTTACACCTGAACAAGCAACCAGGCATCATCCCAAGAGAAGGGCATGGAGCGAAGTGGGGATGTTCTTTCCACCTTGGGCTGTTTCATGTGGATGGAGCATGTTCTGGTACTTTTATTAGAGCCGAGCACAAGCTGGCACAAGCAGGTGAAATTCCTCTGGCAAAGCCAGAGATGACCCTGGATGGGTTTTAAAGGGAGTGAATGTTGCTTCTTGGAGCAAAGGGAGTTTTCATTGCTCCTGGAATGGACAGAGAGGCCTGGGTTAATGATGTTCATCCTCTGTGCTGATCCTCGTCAGGACATTCAGTGTGTGCTTGTACTGTAATCAGATGTGGGTCTCTGTTAACAGTTGGCACAGGTATTCCAGTATGGATTACACAACTCTCCCATGAAAATGCTCAGGTGACTCACTCACAAGAACCTTCACACTGCTACTGACCTATTCCCATCACCTGAGCTTGGGTCTCATTCTGTGCTGTCCTGCAGTGATGCCAGGGCTCAAGAATGAAGGGCTTTCAAGGAGCCTGACTCCACCTGGGCCTGCTCCTTCTTTTCTTCATTGCCAAGGAAAATAAAATACATTCCCCACATCAACTCCTTGAAAATGGGGGGGAACTCCAGAAATATTTTAAGTACTTGTTTTTCCTAGGGGAGAGGAGG